TATATATATATATATACATACACACACACACACACACACACACACACACCACAGAAGGAAGAGAAAGGGAAAGCGAGAGAGAACCATAGCTTGGTTCCAGATGTTGCCACTCTGAGGAGGAAGTCTGCACTGTGCCGAACGCTAATGTCGGTGCAGGCCTGAGCCTAAGAACCCCAGCCTATGCAACGTTTCCCTTTAGTATCAAAGAGGGAAACTTGGGGTGTTTCCTAGAATGTTCTAATGTAGGCTCTTGGGCCAATAAACAGACTTTCTCTTCTGGGAGACAGTGGCCAAATCTGGGCAAGAACTCAGGTTTCCCAACAGCTGTATGACCTTAGGCAAATCATTTAATCTCTTTGGGCCTCAGTTTTTTCACCAGTTAAATGAGGTCAGTTGGACTCATCCCTAAATCAGTGTTTCCTAAAATTGTTAGATGGAACGCCAGAAAACTGTACTCTACCCCTTCCTGAAATTCCACAGTGCAACTGAACACATTAAAAGGTCTGAGAAGGCCCACAGAAAAGAAACCTGCTCAGCTTTGTTTAGCCCACAGTTCCACTTCCCCGTTTACTCGACTACGGTACCTTTGGTCATGGCTTATGCACATCTGGTGTCAGTCTGCTTGGCCTGCTATAACAAAATACTATCAACTGGATGGCTCTTCAACAAGAATTTATTTCTCATAGCTCTGCAGGCTGGAAGTCTGAATCCCGGTCAGGTTCTGGTGACAGCCCTCTTGTGGGCTGCAGACTGCTGACTTCTCCTTGTGTCTTCACATGAGAGCTCCACCCTCATGACCTAATTACTCCATAAAGGCCCCACCTCCTAACACCATCACATCGCGGGGGTTAGGATTTCAACACAGGGATTTGGGGATAACTGGAATATTCAGCCCAAAGCGTTTAGGGAAATGTCACTCTCCATAGAGTCTACATGAATCTAGCTCTCCTGGCCAGCCCCAGTTCATGTGTCCCCCTGGCTCCCTGAACCCCACTGCCGCTTGCATGTGTGCACGTACATGTGCACACATACGTGCACACACACAGAGGAAGAGAAGCTGGGATTCTTAGAGGAAGCATCTTGCCGTTCTCGCTGTCACTTCTTGCTTTGCTAAAATCTTACAATGTTAGATCTGGAAGAGGCAGAGAGATCCTCCAATCTAGTGGATTCTAGTCCTCATTTGATGAGTATTTAGAAAGGGAAGTTGACCTGCCAAATGCTGCATAGCTTATTGGTGGCAGAGTAGGAATGGCAGTTAGGTTTCCTAACTCTCTTCCATCTTCTGGGAAGAGTAGGTAAGTGACCTACTCTTCTACTTTAAGTGACTCAAAGACCTTTTGAGTGCTATGGTCACTTATGCTGGGGCAGATGTAGCTAAAGGTGTTTCCCAGTTTTCTGCGTCAAGATGTAATTAATACCTGGAGTAACTCTGGACACGAATGCTATCAAGATATCAGTCAGCAAGTCCACAAATATTTCTGAACATCTATTTTGTGTCAGGCAATTTCATCAACATTGCTAATACATCAGTGAACAAACAATACAAGCTTCAAAGAGGTACAGACAGTAACCATATGAACAAATAAACACATATAACTTGAGATCCTTATAATTGACATGAAAGCATAATTGGGTGGGTGTGGTAGAGAGGGCTAAGAAGTGGCCTTGGGGAGGAGCTAGAGGCTGCGCAGACAAGCCAGTGTGGGACAACATGAGGGCAGGCTCCATCTACAGCCCCAAGAGGACTCCAATTTGATGAGTGATGCTCATCACAATACACAGTGGTCATAAGCTACCACTTACTAAGCTCCTCCTGTGTGTCAGGCACTGTACTAAGCCCCATAGATCCAGCTGCTTCTTTAATTCCTCAGAGTTAGTTAAGGACAGAGCCAGTACTAGAACCAAGTCTGTCTGCTTCTGAAACCCAGTATTTATTAGGAGAAAGCTCATTCCATTTTCCAAGGACAGAAGACCACACATTGTTCTTTTTCCTGGAGACGCAACACTGGGGTTAAGTAGTTCTTACCGTTACCAGTTCCTCCCTAACAACTTAGGCTACATTTTACTTTTCACTTCATTCCATCACTCGTAGTTCCACCCTCCAGAGACCCTCCCCAACACCACACACAAAATCAGTTACATCCCATTATCTGATGCTAGTTATGTTGATACCTCAGAAGGGAGAAAAGTATGTTTTTAGGAGTGGAGATTTTGCTTTTTTCCATTCTGTTCCCTCCCAGGAGGGAATCTCAATATTTTTTCTGAAATCAGACATTGAGTGTGGGTTTGGAACTGAGTGGGTAAGGGGATGGATATGTACCACACCTTATTTATTCTCTCTTCTGTGCAAGGAAGGGTCTCAGCTGTTTCTCCTCCCAAATTGAATTCTCTTACTCTTGAAGAATGACCCAAGCAAAGACACTTCCCAAACATCTGAAATCTGAGACTTGTGCCTGGAATCCATGAGGCTCATGGTTTCCAGATGGAGAGACCGGAAGAAGAGGAGGTGGGGGAACAGAGGAAGGAGGGTGGAGGATAAAAGGCAAGGGGAAGCCTGAACTCTGGATCACTCTGCCTGTGAACCGGGCCAGGCCTCTCATTTGTTCTGCAAGTCTGCCATCTGAGAACGTGCCAGGCCCAAAGAAACGCAGCAGCTGTGCACATCCTCGTGAGACTGTTCCAGTGATTACTAGGAAGTAAGTCATCGTGAAATTGTCCCTTCTGAGGGCGGTGACTAACCTCAGTAGCACAATACAAAAGAAAGCCCATGGCTTGGCTATGAAGAGGGGCATAAACACTCCAGACGGATTTTCTCACCATCTCGGAAATGACAAAACACAGACACTTCTAGAAATCTTGGCTTCTTTACACCACTTAACCAGATGCAACAGTGGACCCCCAGGTGACCTAATTCTTCCTCCACATGTCTTGTCCTCATGCCAGAGGCGGGGAAAGAGGTTTAAAAGGCAACCTAGTTTGGAGTAAATTAACAGGCAAGTATAGTTCGGCCATAAGTTGGCTAGGTATGGTCTCAGAAGGAATGCTCTTTTTTGATCAGACAGGCCAGTATCTTCTAGGGAAAAAAGGAGTTTGGGGAAAAGAGATCAGAACCCCTGTTAGCAGATGGAAATTGGTTTTTTAAGTGCTGAGAAAATACCCATTTTTATTGTTATCAGTGGTTTCTTTACCATCATGGCCACCCATAATCACCCCACTGACAGAGTCAACACCACCACCGCCACCAAGCCAAAGAGCAATCTTACTTGTCTATCGTGGTTCTTCCCACTTGGAATAGGCTGAATCTGATACTAGGATATAGCCATCCAACTGGGTCAAAAGGTCCTAGAAGCCTGAATGTGTGGAGAGAAACCAAATACAGAAAAGTTACTTCCAATTAACACCTGCAATCTCCACATGTCCTAATAAAAATGGTGAGGCAGCAAATGGCGACCTTCAAGCCAGAGAACTACACTTGGACTCAATGTTTTCAAGAGCCAAGCCGAGTATTCAAGCTCCTCATAACCTGATCTTCTGGCCTGGGACATG